AAAAAATCAATTTAGGCATTTTTCAAGGTAACATGAAAACTGAATGAAATATTGTCAAAATAATTCACAAAGAAAACAGATTGATGGATAATAAATGAAGCCCTTCTAAGAATTTATGGTCAAGTTACATCTGAAGTAGAAAAAATTCCCAGTCATGGTATATAAGTAAAACAAAATAATTTTTTAAAAACTATTTTAGTTATTTAGAGGAAACTTTTCAAAGTTGTTCCAGACAGAGTATGACCTTAGGGGCTGCACCAAGCCAAACAAAGATAAATATTATTTTGAACTGTGTAACATAATAGTACTTTAATAGAGTCCAAAAATAAAATTATGGAGGCAGAAAGAAAGAAATTGAAACTCTACTAAAGGGAGTGTTCTCCCATTAAAATTATATTTAAAACACTAAGCTGGCCTGGTTTTCTCTACGAGATCACTTCAAAGCTTCAGAATGCTCAATGTAAAGATACTGAGCCCTTTAATTTTAAGCAAGGTCCCAAAAAACATGCAAACATCTGCCCAAGAAAGCATTGCTCCAGAGAGTACAATGCTAAGAGGTCACACAATGGACATTAAAACCTTAAAAACCAACAATGACAAAAATATCACAAAGAGAGATCTCAACATGCCAGGATCAGAGCATCTCATGGGTAGATGGTATATCTATACATCTATATATCATGAGAGAGACCACAAACCTACCCCTGTGGTACATCATGCTTAATAGATGCAAATAAAGACATACCGTAGCTGTTTATTTGCTCAATTTGTCAGATATTGGGAAAACTATGTGAAGACTGTATGTACTGGATATCCACCACCACAATGGCTGTAGACTTTCCAGTAGCAGGGTTTATTTGAAGCTGACTTGTACTGGTATTCATCCACAATGAGTGCGGTTGGAGTACTTACAAAATACAAACTAAGAAATATTGAGAATGGGATCAGCAGTAAAAAATAATTTTAGTAGGGGGCAAAAGTTCTGTAACATGGCTTGAATTCCCAACACAAAAATCACCAGTCTCATGTTGTGGGTCCATTTTTTGTGTGTCAGTAGCTACCTAAATTGGTTAGCTGTTGTGTGTATGCGTGTCTCTGATGTTCCAATAGTTTAGTTTCAATTCAAATTAACATCTTAAAAAGCCAAAGTTAGACCAACAAATAGCATTCCACGAGGTAAAATTACTGTTTTTGTGAAGAAAGTCAGGTGACTTTGATGATGGCAAATTCCTATTGTGTTTTCACCAAATAGATGAACTCGAATCAGCTGTAATGCTGAATGTATACCTTGTACAGTGTGTAGACAAAAGGACAGCAAAGGTGGAGTGTCACGTGTATAAGATTGAAGTGAGAGAGAAAAGTACTGGCACAGCTTAATGAAAGAAATACTTTATGTAATGCAGATATTAAAATGTATTATTTAAAAGGGTTACCATCTCATCCTAGTCCTATGAAACAGACACTGTGATCCAACCACCCATGGTCTCTTTTGACAATAATTTCTTCTCATTTTGCTTCTCTTTTGCACTGCTGTAAAAGAGCAGTGGAGGTTGAGAAATTAAAGATGGTATTTAGTATGTTAATTAGACATGTGCAGGAGGTGGTTAGTATCAGGTTAAAATGTACTACTCTTGTAGATTCAATAATGTTGAAAGAAAATTCACATCAAAACTGAACTGGATATACGTCAGAATAGTGTAATCAGAATCAAAATCTCATTTGTTGCCAACTACTTACACAAACAAGGAGTCTTAGTACCATACAATACAATAACACAAAAAAAGAAAATATAAAATACTTACAGAGAAGGGGGACGTGTGAAATCTAAGTGTGAACATCATGTGCAAAGCACTCGACTGCAATGAGTCCAACGTGCAATGTTTTTATAGTGTATGCGAGTAAGTACGTGTGCTAACGTAGCACATTCATTATAAGGAGTCAGGGTTGAAGTACTAGGCTTTGTTAAGTAGTCGAACTGCTGACAGAAAGAAACTGCTCTTGCAATGTGAGGTATTGGCCCTGATGACCCACAGCCTGCTACCAGTATATCACCAGGGTGAGAGGTGTCAGCAGTAGAGCAGGGCGATATGATCAAAAATATTTATCATGATATACATTTGAAAATTTGCGATAACGGTATAACTGACGATATAATTGACACTAGACAAAATACTTTATCACTCCACAACTTTATTAGTACAAAAAAAACCCCATCAATGTATTTTCACTTAAACAAGCAGATGTTTTTATGTGCATTAAAGTGATATAAAGATTTTACCGTGCAAATGCAAATTCCTTGCTGACAGTTTAACCCAAAAAGCATTTCCAGTGGAAATTGGCCAACATATCCTCAGCATAACCATGTATAATATCCACAAAACTTAAAAAGAAGTTATACACACACAATACGGTAATATTATGTTGAAGCACAGTACGTATCACTCCGCGAGGCTCCTGCCTAATATAGCCGTAATGCTCCGACAATCCATCAAGCGGTGCAGGTTCGTAGCTTAGCAAAGTCGTACTAAAACATTTGACAGATTTTCGAGCGCCGTGTAGCAATTGTTTCGAGGTCAGTAAACACAACCAGAATTCGTACATAAGGCACACGGGATTATAAGGGGCACTGTTGATTTTCAAACAAATCAAAGAATTGATTTTAAGTGTGCCGTATTTTCCAAAAAACACGGTAATAACAACGGCCCACTAGCATGCTCTAGCAAAAATAGTGCTTTGTTGTGTATCTGATGGATGAAAGTTAAACCAGTTCCACACCACTGAAGTTGCAGCATTTTTAAAAACCAATTCTGGTTCATCCGTTTCATTCAACGATCCGCGTTTGCCCTTCTCATTCTCCGTCAGCGCCATGCTTTTTCCGCCATGTGCGTATGAAAGCAGAGGCACTGCACATGCGCATTTTATCCATAGTCTATCGCGATATTTCATTTTCTTATTGTTGCCCAACATTATACCGGTATTACCATGAATGGTATGATATGGCCCAGCCCTAGTCAGCAGCAATCTTTCTTGCTGTTTTGACTCTGAGAGTTAATAGAAATGAAGATTTTTGGAAACAAAGAACATGCTACAACCCAAACTGTGGCCTGAAAATTAAGGCACAAACTGAACCATGGCTTTAGAGAATCGTTACAAACACTAGTTTAAAAATATATTAATACAGCTTAAATGTTAATATATTGTAGAGCCCAGCCCTACTCACAGGTTCAGCAATGTTACAACAGTTGTTTTCCGAGGGGTACAAACATGAACAGATTGATTTCATAACGGTACCTGATAAGACAGAAAACATTTTACTGTGAGACCATTTCTAAGCCAACTCTAGTGAAAATGTACTGCATCACCATGGCAACCAGCAAAATGGATGCAGAGATACCAGTATGAGCAAGGTGTATCATTAGGGAGAGTCCTTAAATAAAGTCATCCTTGCCTCTAAAGGAAGTAGACTGTGAGATACATTCCTACTGACTAGTCTGTCTGTCAAGTGAAATGACTGTCACATACTGGGGCACACACACACAGGAGTAAGTGGCCAGTTCTGAGCCACTTGTAGCAATAATGGGAAAAACTGGACTGGTAGTGAAAAACATTTATTCCCGATTAAGGAGGCAGCTGGTTTCACTGTATAAACATGTGAATGCTACTGAACCTTAGCACACCAGAAGTGATGTAAAGACAAAAATGTCCAGGATCAAAGCTAATATATGAACTAAAAAAGGTAGTTACTCAGGTAGTGATATAGTTAACCAACAAGTGCCAGAACTGAGAGTACAGACATAAATAAAAAAAAAACACCCTGAATTATAATGTACTATGACAATAATATTTAATAATTAACTCTTTATTCTAAATGGTGTTTCCACACTGCTGCTTGCAGCTCTGCAAAAAGAATCAGGCTGAATACCAAACTAAGGCTACAGTTCTTTGAATAAAGTGGAAGCTAATCTAGAGCTCCAATAAAGCCATTTAAAGGGAGTCTGGGGAGCCTGGCCAATTAACATGAAATGTCATTAATGCAGCAGCCTTACAGAGTATGAAATGTATTGATCCATTTGCAGATAAATCTCCATTTGCACTTGAATGGACATGAATCACTGTACTTTTTGTCATTCTAATCATAGTTAATGGTAAAGGCCTCCAATCCTGGACAAATGGGGATTTCCATTTGTTCCGCATTGCTGTGTTTGATTCACGCAAGGACTGAGGGGACGTTGATTCTTTCATATGGGCAAACTGGTGACAGAAAACCACTTTGGCACAGATTGATGAAACTGAAAAAAAAAACTATTCTAGAAAGTGAAAATAGTAAAAGAGAAGGTTTAATGCTCCTTATTAATTATAATGTCCTGGGTTTTACCAGCTAAATTATCCCTAACCTTGGGAACAACTCAATAAAAAAGGAAAGAACAATTATTAGTTCTCCATTGAATTTAAGCCTTACCACAGAAACTGTATATTACTTGACATTGATACTCCCTTCAAGACAGGGTGCAATTAGTCTTTTCTGCTCACATACTGTAAAGCCTAACAAATAAAAAAAAAATATAGATCTAGAGATAAATACTATAAAATGCACCAGCACATACCCTACATCCTGAACTGAGAAGGTACTAGATTACTTGTAGTGCAGTTAAATGCTGTGGGAGGGGAAGGAAAATGCCTGAGACATACAAAATTTAACAGGCCATATGATAATTAAGTCCCCAAATGCTTTGTTTTCTGTCTCACACTGCATGCATCTTCCAATATTTTTGAACAATGCATGCACCTGTAACATCACAATTGCTGAAGAAAAAGGACAACTGCAGGATTTGCTGTACGCGCCTCTGTTACTGACCAGACAGTGCCCCGAGGGTTATTAGGAATTCAAGTCACACAGAGACAATGTGGTGTCACCGAGCAGCAGTCAAGCATTAGGGTTGCTAGCATATAGCGCACAGCTAACAAACAGGGTGAAGAAGCCGGCTGGAGGATCTCCTTACCTTTCAGCACCAGCACCGTTTCAGTACCAGCTGCAGCCTGTCCCTCCGCGCTGCTGCTGCTGGTGGTCGGGGGCTCGTCTCCCTCAAACAGCTGGTTCACCTCCCCCTGCATGTCGGAGGGGCGCCGGTCGCCGTCGCTCTTGGAGACGGTGAACCTCTGGCTCATGGTTGTCGCCGGTGAGACAACAGTCGGGTCTTCTTGTCACGGTGCGGGGTGACGCGGACGGATAAAGACGGTCAAAATGCCCTCACCTGTCTGATTATAGTAGTCCACAGTTACAGTCTATGGAGTTTACCTCCTACTACTCAGTGCTGGACGAGCAGCCGCTCTTTGTTGGTCCATTAGATGTGTAATACCGAGTGGACCATCTCATCAACCGGTGTCTGCCGCTGCTGCGCACCTGGGTCCTAAAGCCGAATATTTCTTTTAATAAAAACAGCAAACGTAAACACACATAGTAATGCACGAAACATGATGATTATGATTTTTTTAATGAGCTGGTATTTTTTTATTTCTCCTCATTTTATTATAATTTTTCCTATATCTAACACTAAGATCAACGCAGCTCTTTGTGGCTCTAAATTGGCCGTTGCTGGGCAACCAAAAATCAGTCTCTGACCCAGCTGTGGTAATGTGCTGTAAAGTTGAGGGGATCTTTCCTCAATAATCGTCATACCGCATTAATAAAAAGGAAATTAGAAAAGATACATCAAAAATACATTTCCAGAACTACTAGGATTTTTTTAAGAGGATCATTTGCACCTGTTTGGTATAAAATAACTTAATGAGAGAGAGAGATTTTGAGCAATGTATGATAAAGCCATTAGTCTTGCTGTTATTGAAAACACATGATAAAGAAGGCAAAATTTTCGCTTTATTTTGCACCAGGACGCATCATCCCAAACACACCGGCAATGCTGTAAAAGCATTGACAAGATCTGCAAAACTGAACTATTAGTCTTCCCACAGACCAGACCTGGAGGATGATCTTGACACAAAATGGAACAAAAGAAAATAAACATAAAAATTCAGTTCTGACACGAAAGTAAAATTCACGTCAGATCTACTTTAGTTTCAGAAAACCAAGAAAGCAAGGAACAAGACAAACAGTTATCCCATTCATTTTCCTCTTATGGTCTACGGCCATACGTTGATTTCTCCTTAACGGATCTCAAAGCTCTGCCCTCAAATTGGGTCATATTTAAGTATTTTTATCATTTGATCTTTAATTTGTATTTTTCCCCAAATTTATTATTTTATGTTGTAATCTAATGTATTATTCGCCATACATTCGTTCTGCTTTGTTAATCTATTGCGTTGTTGTAAAGTGTTGGTGGATACCATAAAACTGGTTTGTATCGTGCCACCATTTGGCAATGAAAGGTTAAGGCAAGTAAGCAGGACGTGGGCTGTTTTGTGACCGTCACAGTTTATAATTGTTTTAGATGTAATATCAGGAAATTGTAAACGTGTCTCCAACTGGAGATGTTTTTTTCGTTTTTGGTTTTGTTTGGAACACCCTCCCCCCCCAAAATTTTTACATCCTCTTCCTTTTTTTTTCTTTTTTCTCTTTTGCTACCAAATGGCATACCAGTTGTCTTCGAAAAGCCTGAGTCATAAACTGTACGTCTTGCAGAAGCGACAAAGAAAGAGAACAGGCAAGTGTCATTACCCATCCTTAAAACACTGGAAGTCCCAGGCTTTTCTAACCCTCTGTCAGCCAAGTGGAAGCTAAATTGGCTAGTCTTTTAGCATCAATTCGTATGTAAATTAGGTCGTTACCTGAGAAGTGGGGGAGTGGGAATGTGTGAATGATTGCTGATTTCTAACTGCCATCTGCCTCTTTGTTTGTGTGTGGGGGTGGGGAGCTGCTAAAAGCTGTGAACTTCCTTTTGTGTTGAGGTGGATGCAATTGTCATCTTGTTCAACGCCTTGAACGGTTACTAGGGTTCCATCACTACATGACTGCTGGTCAGCAAACCTGGGAAACCCACAGATCATTCGAACTATGCTGCGAAACCGCTTCCAAGACATCATGCAACACCTACGCTTTGATGACAGGTCCCCCCGCAGTGATCAAGCAAAGACTGATAAGTTCGCTGCAATTTCCAGTGTGTGGGGATCATTTGTCACCAACTGCATCACGTGCTACAACCCTGGTCTACATATCACCATTGATGAACAGCTTTTCCCATCAAAGACTCGGTGCTGTTTCCTGCAGTATATTGCAAGTAAACCAGACAAGTTTGGGATCAAGTTTTGGGTGGCTTGCGACCTAAAATCCAAGTACATTTGCAATGTCTTCCCATATCTTGGCAAGGACCCCAATCGTCCCAGTGGGGAGAGACTGTCTGAAAATGTAGTGATGAGGCTGATGGAACCATTCCTAGACAAGGGCAGAAATGTTACCACGGACAATTTCTTCACATAGACGGAAAACCACCATCCTCGGCACAGTCAACAAGAGTCGCTGGGAAATTCCTCAATCTGCTAGACACACAGATCGCAATGAATTCACCACTCAGGTATGTTGCAGGTCTTTTGTGGTTCTATGTTTATGTGTTTCATTGTGTGTAAAAGTGCTATGGAAATAACAATTTATCTTATTTCTTAGGTGTTTTCAACCTCTGCTGCCACACTGACGGCGAATGCGGCCAAACGGAAGAAGACAGTCTATATTCTTAGCAGCGTGCAGAGCGTGGTTCAGATTGATAACACCACCAAAAGGAAGCCAAACACTGTCGCCGTTTACACCACAAAGTGTGGCGTGGATGTGATGGACCAGATGAT